AAAAAATAAATCAAATTGACAGACGCTTGGCAAACCTGACTAAAATAAGGAGAGAAAATACCCAAATCAGTAAAATCAGAAATGCAAAAGGGGAGATAACAACAAATACCATGGAAATCCAGGAAATCATCAGAGACTACTTTGAGAACCTATAGTCTAATAAATTTGAAAATCTTGAAGAAATGGACAGATTTCTAGATACTTATAACCATCCAAAATGGAACCAAGAGGATATTAACTACCTAAATAGATTATAACACAAAATGAAATTGAAGCAGCAATAAAACTTCTCCCCAAGAAGACAAGTCCAGGACCTGATGGAGTCTCTGCTAAATTTTATCAGACCTTTAAAAAAGAGCTAATACCAACCCTCCTTAAACCGTTCCACGAAATAGAATGGAAAGGAACACTGCCTAACTCATTCTATGAATCCAGTATTACACTCATCACAAAACCATACAAAGACACCTCCAAAAAGAACTATAGCCCATCCCCTTAATGAACATTGATGCAAAAATCCTCAATAAAATAATGGCAAACCGAATTCAGCAACACATTAGAAAGAACATTCACCACGACCAAGTCGGCTTCATCCCAGGGATGCAGGGGTGGTTCAGCATGCAAAAATCAATAAACGTAATAAACCACGTTAACAGAAGCAAAGACAAAAACCACTTGATCATCTCAATAGATTCAGAAAAAGCCTTTGATAAGATCCAACACCACTTCAAGATATAAACTCTAAGAAAACTAGGAATAGAGGGAAAGCACCTCAACATTGTAAAGGCTATATATGACAGACCTACAGCCAACATCATATTAATGGTGAAAACCAAACCATTCCCCTAAAGTCAGGAACGACCCCTACTCAACATAGTACTGGAATTCCTAGCCAGAGCAATTAGACAAGAAAGAAGAAATAAAAGGAATACAAATAAGTAAAGAAACTGTCAAAACATCCCAGTTTGCAAACGATATGATCCTATACCTTAAAGACCCAAAAAACTCTACCGAAAAACTCCTAGACATCATCAACAGCTATAGCAAGGTGGCAGTATACAAAATCAACTTACAAAAATCATTATCTTTTCTATACACCAACAACGAACAAACTGAGAAGGAATATATGAAAACAATTCCATTTATAATAGCCTCAAAAAAAATCAAATACCTAGGAGTAAACATAACAAAGGACGTGAAAGACCTCTACAAGGAGAACTAACCCCTGAAGAAAGAGATCGAGGAAGACTACAGAATGTGGAGAGATTTCCTGTGCTCATGGATTGGTAGAATCAACATAGTAAAAATGGCTATACTACCAAAAGCAATCTACATGTTTAATGCAATTCCCATCAAAATCCCAATGATATCACAGAGATTGAAAAATCTACTCCAAAGTTTGTTTGGAAATACAAAAGACCACAAATAGCCAAGGCAATACTCAGCAAAAAGAGCAATGCTGGAGGTATCACAATACCCCACTTCAAACTATACTACAGAGCCATAGCAATAAAAAACAGCATGATACTGGCACAAAAACAGACATGAAGACCAGTGGAACAGAATAGAGGACCTGGATATGAAGCCACACAACTATGCCCACCTTATTTTTGACAAAAGACAGACTCTTGAACAAATGTTGATGGGAAAAGTGGTTATCCATCTGCAAAAAACTGAAACTAGATCCATGTCTATCACCCTGTACTAGTATCGACTCAAAATGGATCAAGGACCTAAATATCAGACCTGAAACTCTAAAGTTAGTACAGGAAGGAGCAGTAAACACTCTCGAAGTAATAGGTACAGGCAAGGACTACCTCAATAGAGCCCCAGTAGCTCAGAAGCTAAGAGAAAGGATGGACAAATGGGACTTCATAAAATTAAAAAGCTTCTGCACAACAAAAGAAATGGTCTCTAAACTGAAGAGACCACCCACAGAGCAGGACAAAATATTTGCCAGCTCTACATCAGACAAAGAACTGATAACCAGAATTTATAGGGAGCTGAAAAAACTAAGCTCTCCCAAAATCAATGAACCAATAAAGAAATGGGGCAACTGAACTAAACAGATCTTTCTCAAAAGAATAAATTCATATGGTCAAAAAACACATGAAAGAATGCTCACCATCTCTGGCCATAAAGGAAATGCAAATCAAAATCACACTAAAATTCCACCTCACTCCTGTTAGAATAGCCATCATCAGAAACACCACCAACAACATGTGTTGGTGAGGATGTGGGGAAAAAGGAACCCTCGTACACTGCTGGTGGGAATGCAAGCTAATGTAACCACTTTGGAAAAAATATGGAGGCTTCTTAAAAATGTAAACATAGACCTGCCATAAGTTCCAGCAATCCAACTCCTAGGGATATACCCCAAGGAATGTGACCCAGCTTTCTCCAGAGGCACCTGCACACTCATGGTCATTGCAGCACTATTCACAATAGCCAAGTTATGGAAACAGCCAAGATGCCCCACTACTGACGAATGGATCAAGAAAATGTGGTATTTATACACAATGGAATTTTATGCAGCCATGAAGAAGAATGAAATCTTATCATTCATAAGTAAATGGATGGAACTGGAGAACATCATTCTCAGTGAGGTTAGCCAGGCTCAGAAGACCAAAAATCATATGTGTATTTTAGGTCTAGGGCAAATATAGCAATGTTGTTAGATTTGGGTCACATGATAAGGGGAGAGCATATAGGGAGGTATGGGGATAGGTGAGACACCTAAAACATAAAAGTGTTTGATGCCCCCACTGCAGAGGAACTAATACAGAAACCTTAAAGCGACGGAGATCAATATGAGAAAGGGGATCAGGAACTAGTGAAAAGATCAGTTAGAGATGAATCAACTTGGGATGTAACACATTTGTACATGGAAGCAATGCTAGGAATCTCTCTGTGTAGCTATCCTTATCTCAACTAGTAAAAATGTTTTGTTTTTCTTATTATTGCTTATGTCTTCTCTTCAACAAAATTAGAGAGAAGGGCAGAACAGGTTCTGCCTGGAAGGGGGGCGGTGAGAGGAGGGGGTGTGTGGGGGCGGGGGGAGGATGGAGAAATGGCCCAAACAATGTATGCACATGTGAATAAATGAATAATAAAAAAAAGAGTCTGGCATGTGGTGAGGGCCTTCTTACTGCATTGTCTCTTGGTGTAAGGACAGAGAGCATGCATGAGCGTAAGAGAAGGCCTTTCAGACTCAAGTCCTTTATTTAGTAGTTGGCATGAATTCATTCATTAGCCTGTACCTGCTGACCCTGTTGCAATAGGCATTCAGTTTGTAACATCCCCTTTTTTGAGGGGGAGGGGACATTTGAATGTTCAAAGCAGAGCAGCATATGATGTTGAGTAGATGGCACCTTTAGTGCTATTATCTTCATGTATTTATGTGCCTGCGCTTCACACTCTCAGTGGTGCTTCTCACAGACAATGTGAAGTGCCTGAATATATGTATTTTTTACATTTCTCTCTTTGCTAGGGAGGAATGATGCGAGAAGTTTTGATTTAACAGGAGGGGAAGAAATACGTTTGCCTGAAGAGTCTTCGTTTAGAGTAGGATTATTATTCTGAAAATATACCACTAATTAATGGGAAATGAAGGAATTTAAACTTTATTGGTTAACTTAATCATTTCTAGATTGAATGATGTTTATAAATTATGTTAGAGCATGGTTTGAGCTAAGTATTACTTTTGAAACAACTGCAAAACAGTTTTAGAAGGCCAGGATGTCCATAACATCCATTACTGAGAATGCATAACACACCAGATGAGTGGCTGATCTGTTTCTCTCCGTGTGAATTTGTATCGGTCTCTTTGTCAGTTTATTAATTATTAACTGGGTATCTAATGCCCTAATCTGAAATGCTCTGATATCTCAACCTTTTTGAGCACTGACATCCTGGTCAAGAAGGTTTGGATTTTAGAGCATTTTGGATTTTTGGATTAGGGGTGTTCAATTGGGAATGTGTGCCTAGGGGTGTTCAATTGGGAATGTCTGCAAATATCTCAGAATCCAAACAAACAAACAAACAAACAACCCTCTGAAATCTAAAACAGTTCTGGTCCTAAGCATTTCATATAAAGAATACTCACCTGTATACATCAGATACAGTACTAGGTACTTTTCAATATTTATTTTTGTGGTACTTGTGTTTGAACTGAAGGCTTTGTGCTTGCTAGGCAGGTGCTCTGCCCTTTGAGCCTTGTCTCCAGTCCTTACTTTAGTTATTATTTGGATAGAGGTTCACATTTTTGCTTGGGGCTGGCCTTGGACTATGATCCTCCTACCTATGCCTTTGACATAATTGGGATTACAGATGAAACACCATGCCTGCTTGTTGGTTGAGATACGGTCTTGCTAACATTTTGTTGGAGCTGGCCTTCAACTACGATTCTGCTGATCTTTGCTCTTGAGTTGTTGGAATTGTAGGTGTATTTCACCACATATGGCCAATAATTTGTTTTTAAAGTTCTTTTCACAATAATTAAGTTAGATATTTTTACTTTCATTGTATAGATAGGAAGTTAAGTGACAGAGGGTTTAATTTGCCAAAATGCACTCACAGCAAGTAAGTAGTTTAGTTTGAGATTATATTTAGTTCTTGGTTCCATAGATTTACGTATTAGTAACATCTACCTTATCTGACTGCTTTGCATTATTTAAAATTTTCTGTGCATTTGCTATCTAGGTGCTAAGTCTTTCTTGTGTGTTCTTTGTAACATGAAATTCTAATGAAAGGACTTTGGCAGTAGAGTTGTTTTCCCAATATTGAATAATTGGGACATGTGATTATAATTTCTTTTATCATTACAGTTTTATATAATCTCTTATGATATAATTTAATGAGAATTCAGTGTCAAAATTTACAGTTTTTAAAACTAAAGAAAAGCCATTCATAATGTTCACCCATTATATTCTTCTAAAGTTTAAAATAATTATGCCTTTAAAATTACAGTCACTTTTACTTTTTCTACCTCTTTTGTACAGGTACCAAGTACTTGCTTTTGCAACAGATGCAGATAAAAGGCAGGAGACTGAACATCAAAAACTTGGTTCTGGAAAAAGATTAACTGTAAGATCTTCTCTTAATACCTAAAAATTTCAGGAATGCTACTTCTAGTTATCTTTGTTAAGAATAAGAATTCCTTAGGGCTGGAGGTGTGGCCAAGTGGTAGAGACCCTGCCTGGCAAGTGCAAGGCCCTGAGTTCAAACCCCAGTACCACCAAAAAAAAAAAAAAAAAAGAAAAGAAAAAAGTTTATTTTAGTCATTTCTCTTTTTATGGATAGTTGTTTCAATGACCTTAGAATTCTGTATTGGTTTGCAAAGTAAACACAATAGCTTTTTTTTAAAAAATAATTTTTTGCTGATACATACAAATCATAGATATTAATGCAGTACCAAGTAACATTTTGATACATGTGTACTTTGTGTATGTTTAAATCAGCTTAAACAAATCTGTCTCCTGAGACATTTATTGTTTCTTTAGGTGAGAGCATTCAAAATCCTCTTGCAGCTTTTTGAGTATACAATACATTATTATTTATAGTCACTCTGCTGTGCAATAGCACATTAGACCTTCTTACTCTTATCTAACTGTAACTTAGTACTCATTGACCAGCCTTTCCTCATCCCTCCCTCCCCCACAACAGCTGTCTTAGGGAAGGTTTTTAGAGAAGCAGATACCTTTTTCGTGAATATTCTCTAATATCATCTGGTAAGAGATGGGGAAAAACCTGCTGGATGGATATGGTGATAACAAATAAACAAAGCTAGATTTATGTAAGTGAAGAAGTTAGCCAATTTTTTTTTTCTGTTTTGAGGTAAAGCAGTTTCTGAATTTGCATTGATATGAAAATGGCTTTAATGGTCTCTTTTTAGCAACTAAATGGGTCTTGGGTTTTGCTTTGCAGGTGGATTGGACTCTAAATATCGGAGAGCAAGCCCTTGACATACGTATTGTCTCTTTCCATCAGTCAGCATCCTCCGTTTTTGTTCTTGGTGAGAGAAACTTTTTTTGCCTTAAGGATAATGGACAAATTCGATTCATGAAGAAGCTTGATTGTAGCCCAAGTTCTTTTCTCCCATATTGTTCAGGTGCGTAGAAAGGTTTTCTTTTATTTTTTTCCATATGTTAAGGCTGTGCTGGAGATATGAAAAAAAAATCACATTCATATTCATATTTTAAACATCTAGGAAAATAGCTTCATGCTGAGCATGTAATGGAAATTTTAACTTTCAAAATTTGAATACAAGTTTAATATAAAGCACACTTTTGGTTTTGTCACTCATTTTACTTTGCGTAAAGTCACTTGTAGAATTGGCCTCCAGCATAGATTAATGCTTTCATGATGTGACTGTTGAAGATGCTTCTAGAGAACATCAGACACTTTTATAAACAGAATGGCTTATCCATTGTGAACCATGAACTCTCAGTAAATCATTTACTTGAATATGCTACATGTTCTATTGATGAAATGCAAAAATGTTGTCTGCTATCTAAAGTTTCTCAGTTTGTAAAATGATTTGTTTTGCTTTTGCTACTGGTATCTTGAAGCTGAACAATAATACTTTATTGTTTAAAATATATCTACAGCCATACCACCCTAAACGTGCCTAATCTTGTCTAAAACCTTTGTGTATTAAAAATCAAGATACTAGAATTAGCTTGTGTCACAGATCCTCTGAAAGAGATAGCATATACAGTTTTACAAATGCCTGTTTTCTTACTATTCTCTTTTTGTATCTTCAACCTGCAGTTTCTGAAGGAACAGTAAATACTTTGATTGGAAACCATAAAAGCATGTTGCATATTTATCAGGATGTGGCACTGAAGTGGGCCACTCAACTTCCCCATATTCCTGTGGCACTAAGAGTGGGCTGTTTGCAGTAAGTGATTTAATTTAATGCAGTTTCATTAAAGGATCTTTGTGAATAATGGCAACTAATTTACTAAAAAATTATGTTTGACATTGTAGTGTAATGTTACTAGTAGAAATAATTTAAAATATACCTTTTGTTGGAAAAGAAAGATATGAAATTGCCTTCATTTGTATCACTAATCATTTTCATTTTTAGTATTTCTAAAAAGATATCCCTTATAAATTAGAGATGAAAAGTCTTGAGGATACCAAGAAAATGGTTTGCCTGATAAGATTATTTTCTTTATAATAAAAATGATTTCTAGCATTTGATGGTTTTCACTCAAGACCATTTATTGATAGGATGTTGGAATATTACACTTCCTCATAATGTTCAAACTTGATAGAGATCTTATTATATCAAGTGATTCAGAATAGGCTAGTAGTAGTCATGTGTGTTAAGCAGTTTAGATTTTAAATAAGACAATTTTGCATTTAAAATGAAAACTAAAATCATTAAATTTACATAGCAGTCATTGGTGGTATAGGGGTGAGCAGAGCTGCTTTCCAAAATTTGTCAAAAGTTAGAGAAATGAGATTTTATTTCTCTGTGTGTAATTTTTCAAGGTCATTGGTATAAAAGGGAAGATCCTGAAAAACTCTTTAGCACCTCATTTTATGTTTAGGAACTGAAAAATCTCAGCCAATGTATAGAAAACACAACTTTCTCTAAAGCGTCATAAATTCCCAGATCTATTCAGTTTGAGTTATTTAATATTGTATTATACATATGTAGAGTTCTTCAGTGGCACCTGTAGTATCTGATGAGGATGACTGATCCCCCAAATAAGGGCTTGGGTGTATAATAATATTGAAGCACAAGGAGAGACGTTCATGTTTGTACTAATGGTTAATCTAAAGCCTACAGGCTAGAAAAATGGAAAGTGTTTTGAAAACACTGAATATTTCTGAATGAAGCTGCTTCCTTATGTTTTGTGAGAGAAGACCATCATGTTTACTTAGTAGGATTTAGAACAGGAAAAACTCTTTGCCACTAGGGCATTGTCAGATATTTCTCTTCTGGGAGAGTAATTCTTATAGCAGTCCATCTATCCATCACAGAGCTTTCTCTTTGGCCCCACCAGTGACAATACACATGCAAGAAGACAGATCTACACTGGTGGATATGTTGCTCATCTTGGTTTATAATATCCATGCTATTTAGGAGCCATTACCTTTCTATACTTAAAAGTCATTGTGTTTTTTGTGCATATTTTGGGTATAGGAGAATGATGGGAAGAATTTATTGAGAGTATTTTCTTGAAATACTTTGCATACACATTATGTACAAGACTTTCAAGAGTCACTTTACTCAGGGAAGTGCAAAGATATGGCTTCTTCACAGATGATATATATTGCTAGTTAATAGTTTCTGCTTTACATGCAGCTTAAAAATTGAGGTTTCAGTAATAGCTGAGATTATTGTGAGTAAAAACTTAAATTTCCATATAGTATGCATTATGATGCCTATGTTCAAAAGCAGTATGTCACACTGCATCTGTGAGGGAAGCTTCCTATTTCTCATAGCTTTTTAAAGATCACAATATATAAACAATTAAATGCAAGTACGGCCATTAGTATTTTCCATGATTAATATATAAAATAAATACAGATTATTCAATTTAAGATTTTCTTGTTTTAAATATGCTTTAACAGGATAAATTAGATTTTTGTAAGCAATTTCATTATAATTTCTATTAGAATTAAAAAATATTTACTAACTTAGCTGTAACATATTAATATTTAGTAGTTATTATTTGAAATTATAAACTGAAATAATGTCCCTCCCGCTTTTTATCAAATTTAGTATTGAATAATTTTGGTAGAAACTTTCTTGGCTAAATGTGTTTATTTATAAAGGAAATTGCTGCTATTTTAATATTTTTTTCAATGAATAAGAAATACTGGATTTGGACCAAGTTGATCCAGTTATACTTAATAACAGCATTTTGCACAGGAACTAGGTGCTTTCTTTCTTTCCATTTCCAGCTACTTGGCAGCCCTAGTCCTTTCTACCTCGTTTATTATACATTAATTCTAAGTCTGTGCTTCCTTCTTTTATTATTAAATTCATTCTTGATTAGATAGCATTTTTGGTTTAATTATTTCATGTTTGGTGGGTTAGACTGTAAGAATATGATACCAATACACAGGTTAGAGGATGTTACTCTTCCTTTTCATTATGTGAAGTAGCAATATGAAGACTGGCTGAGCATCTTACCTCTGTTGTGGTCACTTTTCCAAATGGCAAATAAGATCATCATTTATTGGCCACATTATTTTCTCTAGAGATATCAAATATATGTAAAAGTGGAAGTCCTTTTGATTGAAAGTTCAAAGTAATGAAAACCTTTACAAACTTCAGCTGGCAGTGGATAGCCATAGTGCTTTAAAATCTTATTGCAGCTCATTTTTTAGCACAAACAATTTGGTCTAGTACTTCAGTGTTTTTCTTCACAGACTATGTCCACAATAGTCACTTAAAAATTTATTCTTTAGTTTTCATTGACACAGTGTTCTTGAACAGAGGGTGCTTTTTTTTTTTCTTCTTCTTCTTGTGTGTATGTGTGTTTGAGTTTGAAATCAGGGCCATGTACTTGCTAGACAGGTATACTACGAGTTGAACTACTCTACCAGCCCTCCTGTATCTTTGAATCCTAGTTCAACTCACATTAATTTTCCTGCCCTAATGTCTTCTCCTTCTCTAAATTTCTATCACATTTACAATTATTTTGTAAATACCCTTTTTCTGTGTTTGTACATCATACTGAATAACCAACCAGAAAGCTGAACAAAAGGTATATGGTAGGTAAATACTTCAAAGTCATTTTGGTTTGTCTTTATGTCTCAGGGTAAAGAGTAGCTAGAAATACCTTTTGATAACCCTTTTTTAAATATGAAAAAAACAGATTCATAGAGGAAGAGTATCATGTCTTTAAAACTAAATTTATTAGAATATTTGAAATTTCAAGGTTTTTTTTTTCCACAGTGCTAGTGGTGGGAAATGTTCAGGTGAGTTTGGATAAATTGTGTTCGTTCAATTATGGATTGGTAACAATATTGCCAGTTTTTTGGTTCATACAGAACCTGGGGCTCTGAACCACATTTTTTTCTTGGTGGGGGGACTGGGATTAGGAAAAAGAATGAGATATCTTCCTACCTTTTGATCAGGTGGTGTCTATGAAATGGTGCTAGAGTGTCTTGAGCAGAAGTTGGATCCTTGGCTTCATCCACTTGATACTTAGTCTAAATTCCTTGTAAATTTCGGATTTATAACTTATGGGGTTGCTTTTCTATCTTTGCTCTTCCCCTTGTCCCTCTTCCTCTCTCTTTTTAGTGATTTTTATGCCTGTATCTTTGTCTATTTCTGTTTCTACATGGAAACAATCTCTCTTAGAGAGATTGTACTGAAAACTGATGTTATATATTGAATTCAACATTTCAGAAGCACTTTAGGATCATAGTATTAAAGAGAAAGATATGGTTTGGAATTAGACTGGTATAGTACTAAATTTAGAGATTCTTTGGATAAGTTGTTTTTTTTTTCCAGGACTAACCTGTTAATTTCCAAAAACACTTTCTGTTCAAGCTAGCAAGTGAGGGGTGTAGTTTTCTTAAATTAAAAAAGTGAACACTTTTAGAAAGATATACTGTGGTTATCTAGAGTGATTGCTGAACTCTTGCTTTTCCACAGCAAGTTAAATTGGATATCCATTGTGCTCTCTGCCTAGCATTGTTTGGTCTCTGAATGGTGTTCATTATGGCCAAATTACAGTTCAGTAAAAGAATTTACATAGTTACATGAAATTTGACATTACCATCATTACTTTCCTGACTTTCTCCCTCCACACCATAATGTAGTATTTATATTCTCTTGGTGATTTTCTTTATAATTGTTTTTTGGTTATAACTGATGCTTTTGGAATTGTAATTAAGTTTAACTTAGCTCATTTTGCTGTGTTTAAGCACACTGAATTTCATTGTTTCCATCATTAGGTTTTTACTAAGAAAGCAAGTTCTTTCCCACATTTTACTTGTTTATTATTTTCTCGTCTTGTTCTGATTTGCCTTTTGATCTATTTGGTAGATGAAATAATTTCTTTATTAACAGTGATAAATCAGTTTTTAAGAATCCTAGTATATGACTTAAATGGGAAAAGATTTTAACTCAAGTTTATAATCAGAAATGCTAGGTAGGGCAAGAAAATCCCTGGTTTTTATGGGTCTCCACAGAAAAAGGGGTTTCAGTTTGTGACCTGGTGTGCCTACTAATGCCACACAATAGACTATAACTCAGTGCAAGGAGTTTTGGAGGATGGTAAAAGAGAACTATGCCATATTTAGTATATATTTTTCTTCTTCTTATTGGTACCTTCGTAACTGATGTGCACAAGTGTTTCTTTTGATCCCATTGAAAAATTTTGGTGGATAAGATGAGTTGCATTGTTTTTGATGGCCATCACTAACTTCATGCATGTATTTTGTGTGATCTCACACACAATGAAATGATTTAATGATTTTTAATGAGATTATTTCTAGATTTTATAGTGATTGATTAGAGTGGAAAAGCAGAAGAACTGCGCTTGTAATGGCTCTGTAGCCATGTGTCTAAGCACATGATTGGCATATGGTCTATCATGACTTTTCACTAACTATTGCATGGTTATATTGATAAATGTTTTTTGTTCACATGGAAAACACTTGTATTAGTCATACAAACTAAAAGCCATATCTTTATTGTTATTTGTTAGTTGGGGTTATAACTCCTGCAAAATTCTCCTTGTGAAAGTTAGAAGTCTTCTGCTTGGCCTCATGTTTTCATTATCATTTTGTTTTTTATGTAATAATGTAAAATATGTCATCTTCTATTCTCATGAAGAATACAATAGTAATTACAGTTCCAGATCATTTGATTTTATTACATTCCATACTAAATCTGTTTAATTTGCCTGCCAGAGATGTTAGAAAAATTGTATCGCCATGGATAATGGAATACTAGTTGGATTTATGATTTTCTGT